TAATACATATATATGTCAGATCTTATATTAGTTATCATTGACTCCATAGAGCTTGTCATAGTTTTAACATTATCCATTTTGAATTACCAAGATTCAAATATCGTTATTCCTATTCCATATACTTGCATGTGATTTCTGTCTAAGTATAAATGGAATATCCTTATTAAAAGATAAAAACAAGAATGATTGTTTCTTAGTGAATTCATTCTCAATACTTATATAATGATAATCAATAGTATGTATGGTAAAAACTTCTATGATACTAAGTAGACAAAAACTGAGTTTGTTTTGAGTAATAGTTTTACTAAAACAGCAAAATTTTATATATTAAACTACTGTCCAATCATAGCATATCATGTGGATATTCTATAAAGCTTCATCATGTTTTGATTGGATAAAAACTCTTCGGTTCCATCAGAGCCTCTGAATGTTTCGTTTGTAGTTCTTGGAAGTCGACTCAACAATACACATAAAATAAACTATATCAAAGAAAATGAAATCACTGATATCATTAGATAATGAACAATTTTCAGGTGATTATGTTAGTAAAATCAGCTTAGTTCATATGACTATAATCACTATTACTTAGTCGGAAAGCACATTTGTGTTACTTCTCTACTCGTGTGTGTGTGTGTGTGTGTGTGCATGTACCAATTTACAATGTATTTTAACTTGTTAACGTCATTATTAACCTTAATGTCTATTTGAACATTTCCTCTATTATTATTATTATTATTATTATTATTATTATTATTTGACCTATTTATTACAGAATGTTTCAGTCTTAAAATCTATATTTCTGTTATGGTGTTTTATTTTCTTGTGTCTGTGTATGTATTCTAGTAACAGAATAGAAATGTTTGATGTTTCTCTAAGAAATTTCTGCTGAGGAGTTTTTACAATAGGACGAAACGGTTGTCCAGTGCTTCCAGATTTTCTATGGTGTTATAGCTTCAATTGACTCATAATCTCAACTATTAAAATTTCTTTATATCTATATTTCTTCTATTAACAATATCATAGTCCTTAATTAATTAGTAATAATATTACTAATACGCTTATCTATCCAGTAGTTTGCTTACAACATAACTCATGATGGCATAACATATATGACAAAATATAGTAGATTGTATGCACGTACAATAAGTAAATTCATATCCCTAAATGCTCTGATACGGTCGAGGAAAGAAAGTTCTCTCTTCTTGAAATTATTTAATGAAGCTATACAATCATAGCCTCTATTTACTCATCGAAGTAAAGACCGGTGTTAGGCAAGGTTGCTTACTCTCACCCTTTCTCTTTCTCCTGGTGATCGACTGGATCATGAAGACGTCAACAACTGAAGGGAAGCACGGGATACAGTGGACATCTAGGATGCAATTGGATGATCTGGCTGTTCTATCGCATACGCAACAACAAATGCAGGAGAAGACAACCAGTGTAGCAGCAGCCTCAGCAGCAATAGGTCTCAATATACACAAAGGGAAAAGCAAGATTTACCGATACAACACAGCATGCAACAATCCAATCACAATTGACGGAGAAGATTTAGAAGATGTACAAACCTTTACATATTTGGGCAGCATCATCGATGAACAGGGTGTGTCTGATGCAGATGTGAAGGCACGGATTGGCAAAGCAAGAGCAGCATATTTACAATTGAAGAATATCTGGAACTCAAAACAATCGGCAACCAACACCAAAGTCAGAATTTTCAATACAAATGTGAAGACAGTTCTACTGTATGGAGCGGAAACCTGGAAAACTACGAAATCCATCATCCAAAAGATACAGGTGTTTATTAACAGTTGTCTACGCAAAATACTTCAGATCCGCTGGCCGGACACTATAAGCAACAACCTACTGTGGGAGAGAACAAATCAGATCCCAGTGGAGGAAGAAATCAGGAAGAAGCACTGGAAGTGGATAGGACACACATTGAGGAAAGCACCGAACTGCGTCACAAGACAAGCCCTCACATGGAATCCTCAAGGTCGAAGGAGGAGAGGAAGACCAAAGAACACATTACGCCGGGAAACGGAGATAGATATGAGAAAAATGAACAAGAATTGGATGGAACTAGAAAAGAAGACCCAGGACAGAGTGGGTTGGAGAATGCTGGTCGGTGGCCTATGCTCCATTGGGAGTAACAGGCGTAAGTAAGTAAGTAAGTAAATGAATAAACAATAGTTAAGAACATGAGTGATTAAACTACTACATTATTGATTCGTTTGAACTTCTACATTCTTGCCTATAATTACTTTACTTACTATTATACTTTCTAATCAAGTTGTAATAATCATCTAATCAAATTCATTTTCATTGTTTCTTGATCTGTGTAAGACTAGAAGATAATAGGAATATAACAAACAATATTAAGGTTAAAGCTTTCAATAAAAGATATCTAATTACTTGATGATAATTGATACCAATTTTCAGTGTCCGGTCGTGAATTACTGCACATTTATATGAGTTGTTACATCACCTATAATTGATTCATTCCGTATACTTCTGCATTACTATGCATTAAGATTCCGTATACCATTTATATATTCTATTCATGTATTTAAATACATAAATATTGGTACAAGAGGCACCGAATACATATACGCCACACTTCATCATTCGATTTATGTGGAGGCTTGGATACTTCCTACGCACCCGAAACATTTACATACTGTAGCAGTTTTGAATAGTTGATATCATAAGTCAATTGTAGCTAGACCACCATAGAAAATCTGGAAGCACTGGACGGCCGTTTCGTCCTACTGTGAACTCCTCAGCAGTGCACAACTACGATTCCGCTTTGCGGGTTTCGAAACCAGGACCTATCAGTTTCGCGAGAGAGTGCTTAACCACTAGACCACTGAGCTGGTCAGTATTCAACAGTGTTAATATTTAACTACAAATAATCCACGAAATAGAGCGACACATCCGCCATTGTCATCAGCGAGTTACTATCACATAACTGGCCCGGTTGAACTCCATTGATCACTGCTTCTCACTAGAACTCCAGGAAATACCTCTTAAATTCAATTACTAGTGAACATATGTTGATTAGTATCAGAACGAATTTTGTGGGTGTTGTATTGATTTCAATAGTTGAGATCATAAATCATTTGAAGTTAAACTTATGATCTCAACCCTTCAGAAACTGAAAAAATAAATATGATTTCTACATTTAATTCATCACAATAAATTTAATCATAAATTAGATTTTACTGTTCAATAAACCCTATTCGATAGATACAACTGTTCCATTTATTCTATCTTTCCTATCAAAGTTCACTTACTTGTTAATTTTTTTTTGTTGAGTTTTTTATCCCGTTCTCTTGTTGACCAGCGATGTCTAGTCAAACGAAGGATAAGTTACCTGACTTGGCCTCCTCAATGTGCATCTATAAATTCAGCTGCTCCTGTAGAGATAGCTATATCAGGCGTACAACCAGACAACTTAGCCAACGAATGAGTGAACATCTACCAACTTGGTTCATAAACGGCCAGATAAAAACAGTACGCAGTTCAATCCTGGCACATCTTATTGATAGTGGTCATGCGGTAGATAAATCGAAATCATTTTGAGTGATCTATCGTGTACCTCCATCATTTCCCAATGGAGTTCGTTCCCGTCTCTTACATATAGCTGAAGCCATAGGAATCCTTACATATAACCCCAATCTATGTGTACAGAAGAAATTTGTAACTCCCCTATCTCTTCCATGGCCAGATATGACTTAACTAACGATTAATTTTTATCTCTTCATTTTTATTTTCTTTATTTTTCTTTTCTTTTTATTATTATTGGTATTCTATCATTAACCTTATTTAACCTTATTTACCAGTGGAGTTCAACCAGGTCTGTTGTGAGATATCAGCTCACTGAAGACAATGGTGACGGTGGCGCAACTTCGTGGATTAGTTGAAGTTAGACATTAACACCGTTAAATGCCGGCTCAGTGGTCTAGTTGGTTAAGCGCCTGGCGCGAGACTGATAGGTCCTGGGTTTGAATCCCGCGGGGTGCGGGATTGTGGATGCTCACTGCTGAGGAGTCCCATACTAGGACGAAACGGCCGTCCAATGCTTCCAGGTTTTCCATGGTGGTCTAGCTTCAACTGACTCATGATCTTAATCATTGAAATTACTACAATCTCCACAAAACCCCTTCTGATAATAATCAACATATGCTCACTAGTGACTGGCTTCAAGAGGTATATCCTGGAGTTCTAGTGAGAAGTAGTGACCAGTGGAGTTCAACCAGGTCTGTTGTGGAATAGTAACTCACTGAAGACAATGGTGGATGTGTCGCTCAATTTCGTGGATTAGTTGAAGTTAGACATTAACACCGTTGGATGCCGGCCGGCTCAGTGGTCTAGTGGTTAAGTGCTCGCGCGCGAAACCAGTAGGTCCTGGGTTCGAATCTCGCAGGGGGCGAGGTCGTGGATGCGCACTTCTGAGGAGTCCCATACTGGGACGAAACGGCCGTCCAATGCTTCCAGGTTTTCCATGGTGGTCTAGCTTCAACTGACTCATGATCTTAATCATTGAAATTACATCCATTATTTGTTTGGAATTATCCGCCTCTTTCCGTTTTGCATTCTTCACTATCTAATTATTTACACACTTCTTATTACGTAATGATTTACAATGTTTTGTGATCACTATTTCATTTACTCATATTTGACCTACTATTTCCAATGTTTAACTATTGATAAAACTTTTTGTTATCGTATTTTCTTATTCTTACCTACTACTATTAGTACACCTATCTTCCTACTACTATCAATTTGTACTTTTATCGATTATGTATAATGACTTATTCTATATCATAGTGATTACTGATCTAAAATTACCTTGATTGGTTTAACATATTTCGTATCAATATTCACGTATATTAGAGTAAAGCTAGATGATGATCTTTATTGAAAACAATATTGTTCACTTATATGTGTTGTTCTCTTTTACTTCTTCTTGTTTTTTTTTTGTTTTTTTGTTTTTTCAGAGTTCATTAGATTCTATTTTTCCTCAATCAAATACTTTTAATCAAAAAACAACAACAAAAATAATAATAAATGATAAATCATATCAAAAAAAATCTTCAACAGTTCCAAATGTTATGAAAATTGTACGTAAAAGTTATGATACGCTAGATGTTGGTAGAAATCGTTATGAAAAACATTTAAAACTTGATCCTGAATTAATTGCTGTACGTTGTTGTTGTTTGTTTGTGTGTTTGTTTGTTTTTCGTTTCTATGTAACTGTTAGTAACTAGGCAAGTGTATTATAGATTATTTTCATATAACATTTTTCATTAATATTCTTATTTATTTCAGTTAGCTATAGTTTCATATATTTTATCCGTTGAAAGGGTTTCATTATGTTTGGTCCTACGTTGTAGTTGACTGATTGAACTGATTTTACATTTATGACATAGTGTTACAATGATAACAGGTTCACAATAAAATCAAATTCCTATTGTTTAGCCCTCAAATGCCCTGGTACGGCCGAGAGTGAGGAGAGTCCGCTCACCCACTCGAAATACTCTCACATGGCCATGCGTATATAGCCCCTGCCAGGGAAGTCCTACTCACTACCTTCACATGGTGGGGGTGTTGTTTACAAAAATGAGAGGACGAAAAGCGAATATCCGGCGCTTTAACCGGATCCCAAACCAATGGTGCACATGGACTAGCTCCAGTATCCTGAAGGAACAAATGGCATATGTACCAATCATTGGTCATCGACTACCATGGGACTGCATCTCCATACGATGCTCCACTGCCTTGTGGATCAGACGTTCAGGTCAAAGGCTCAGGGTGTGGCCCCCTAAGAAAACCATCTGCTTCGGTTTGGGCACCCGAGCAGTATCACAGCCCTCACACAAATCAATTGAGATCTGTGTGGCGCATATGTATTTGGTGCCTCCTTGTACCAATACCTATGTGTTAAAATAAATAAATAAATAAACTTGATATACCACGTATAACTGAGCACTAGAACGCTAAAACCTTACCAAGTTTCAAGGAGAAGACAGAAAACTAATGAAAGGAATATTATTCCAAAACAGTGTCAATTATAGTACAAAATTGTCAAGTATTTATAGTTTTTAGTAAGAACGAAATTATCATTGCAATCCTCTAATCCGCATACGGAGAGGTTATTAGCCTTGTCCAATCAGGAAGCTACATGTAGGAATTCTAGAATATTCTCCCAAGAGGTGATTGTATGGAATATTTTCGACTTTTTCTGAGCCACTTACAACTTCCTCGAGTTCACCCGTCGTCTATCGTTACAAAAAAAGTTTCTTGTCCACTTGCTCTAGCCATTTAATATAGTTTAATATTGAACATTTGTTTTTTTTTTATTAATTCATTTCTTTTTATTATTTATAGCAACAAGTCACTTTAATTGAATTAGAATACTTTCAAGCAATTGAAGCAGATGTAAGTGGATATTATACTTCATTTATATTTACTTTCATTCTTTTCAACTTAATCATTTAGAGTTATATGTAGCATAGAACCGGCGCTTTAACCGGACCCCAAACCAATGGTGCACATGGGCTCCAGTATCCTGAAGGAACAAATGGCGTATGAACCAATCGTTGGTCACCTGCTACCATGGGACTGCATCTCCTTACGATGCTCCACTGCCTTGTGGATCAGACGTTCAGGTCAAAGGCTCGGAGTGTGGCCCCCTAAGAAAACCACCTGCTTCGGTTTGGGCACCCGGGCAGTATCACAGCCCTCACACAAATCAATTGAAATCTGTGTGGCGCATATGTATTCGGTGCCTCCCTGTACCTATACTTATGTGTTAAAATAAATAATAAAATAATAATAGAACCTTCCAACATTATGTTAGTTAGCAAGTGTCCTAAAATAGTTGATAATGTTTTACAACTACTTAAGTTATATGTTTCATTTGTTGTTTAAATCTTTTATTCCCTCTTGTTTTTCTCACTAAATTATGTAATCTGTTTTTAAGCCAGTTGTTAAAAAGTAATCAACAATAATCGTTATAGTTATACTACTCACTTACTCTTAGTGTTTAGTATTTTTGAATACTAATTCACTTGACAAGTCTCCAAATCAGAATATAATTGTACAGGAACGTAATTATATTTCATATAACAAGGTTGGATAGAAGTAGGAATCATAATAAGTAAAATGTTAATATATTTATAATTTTTTACATAAGAAGATCTTAGAGTTTTCTCAGAGTATTCGCTAGCGTTGATTGGTTAAGGAATAGTCAATCAGCATCTCCTAATACAGTCCTAGACGGAACATGTTTTAATCCAATCTATATCCCGCGAACACAGTTGAACAATTACATATATATATTTATATATTTATTATTATTATTATTATTATTATTATTTGAACACATAAATATTGGTAAAAGAGGGCACCAAATATATATATGCCACACCAATTTTCATTTTATTTGTATGAGGGCTGTGATACTGCTCGGGTGTCCATACCGAAGCAGATGGTTTTCTTAGGGGGTCACACCTCGAGGCTTTGATCTAAAGGTGTAACCCACAAGGCAGTGGAGTATCGTAAGGAAATGAAGTCCCATGGTAGCCGATGACCAACGATTAGTTCATACGCCATTTGCTCCCTCAGGATACTGGAGTCAGCCCATGTGCACCATTGGTTTGGGATCCGGTTAAAGCACAGGATATTCGTTTTTCATCTTCTCATATTCGTATGCTCAGTGTAGCTACTGAACATACAGTAAATTAGTAGATAATTTGGTGAGACTATAATTTATGGACGAACCAATCAGATATAAGATAACAGGTCTCGAATTTTGGCGCGAAATTCACTCATGTATTTGCTTAGAAAGCGTTTAGGGATTTTAGCTGATAAAAACCGTAAACCTAATTCTTAACTTTAACCACCAACTGTAAATCATAGTCGTTATTATCCACACAGGGTTGTAACTCTCATTTAACTTTAGCAGGTGGTGGACATTCTCAAGGCCACTTTAACTTCATTTAAAGGTTGTCCATAAATAAAATGATGTCTTATTCCTTGAACTGAATAGCCTTTATGAAGAAATTTTCATTGTTATTTATGTTGAATGATAATACAAAGGGGCACCGAATACATACGCGTCACACAAGTCACTTGATTCATGTGTGAGCTGTGTTATTGTTCGGGTGTCCAAACTGAAGCAGATGGTTTTCTTAGAAGGCCACACCCGGAGCCTTCAATCTAAAGGTCTAATCGACTAGGTACTGGAGCAACGTCAAGAGATGCAGTTCTATGGTAGCCGGTGACCAACAGTTGGTTCATACGCCATTTATTCCTGCAGGATCGTGGAGTCAGCCCATATGCACCAGTGTTTTCCGATTCACCCAGGTGGATTCTCCGTATCCACCAAACCCGTTTAAACGCCGGACATTCACTTTTCTTCCTCTCAATTTCATAAACAACAGTAATGCTGCAAGAAGGCAGTGACTAGGACTTCCCTGGCAGTAGCTGGCTGCATACACATGTCCATATGAGAGCATTTGGAGAAGGAGAGCTGACTCTCCTCAATCTCGGCCATACCAGGACATTTGATGGCAACATTGAAAATTTTCCAACTGTATCATCTAAATCATTAAAACAATATTATTTTACAAATACGAATTGATTTACAAACATTCATATTAATTCAAATGTGTTAATAAAAATAAATTTTCGCTTATATGATTAAATGTGACAATTAAACACATTGTAGAAAAAAAAATCAGATAAAATTAAGCTGGTAACTAACATGAATATTGAATTAAGGGCGAGACTCTAATTTCTGGACGAGCCAATCAGAAACCTTTGAGAGATTTCAAGGTCACGGCGCCAACTTCAATGCTTAATATGCTAACGTACAATCGGTTCACAAAGACGTGATAATTGAGCAGTTATAACAAATAAAATAGCGAGACTGTAATTTGTGGCCGAATCAATCAGGTATACGATAACAGATCTCGGTACTACAATAGATACGGATGTTTGGAGAGTATACAGACTTCTACATAGGCTTGGTTATGTGCATGGTGTCGTTATCCACAAGTAGCATTTTGTGTACTCAACAACTGGAGTGCACATAAACAATATTGAAGCTATGTGGTCAAGGCTGAAAATATTTTTGAGATTTTATCATGGTTCCAGAGGTCGATTATTCTGTAACCATATGGATGATTTTCTCTACTGCATGCATTACAATTTTAGAACCTCTGAACTTCTTTCTAACCTTGACAACTTTTTGAATCACGTATAAGAAGTGTATCCACTTGAATTCTTTGATTTTGTATAATATATTTTACTCTATACGGACTGCTGATTGGCCAATATTCATCAAGATCACTTAAGACTCGTTTGAAGGTCGTTCATAAATTGGAGTCTCGCCAAACTCTCATTTGAACATTTAATATAAAAAGAAAAGAAACAATACTCTTCGAGTAGTTGTGTTACGTAATCGTTACATGGTGTCACAATGAACATAAAATAATATCGAATTACTGAGAGAATAAAACAAAGAAGATTATGATAATCAACTTTAAAAGCTTTATTCTAATCCATTTAATATCGTGTATCCAATGAATCAGATAGAATATCACTTTTAGTTATCTGTTCTTTACTCAACCGCGTTGAATTATTTTTATTTTATTTGTACACATATATATTGGTACAGGGGGGCACCAAATATATATGCGCCACACGAATATAGTTTTCAGGGAATATCATCATTTTCATTATATTTGTATGTGGGCTGCGATACTGCCCGGGTGCCCAAACCGAAGCAGGTGGTTTTCTTACGGAGCCACACAACGAGCCTTCGACCTGAAGATCTGATCCACAAGGCAGTGGAGCATCGTGAGGTGATGCAGTCCTACGGTAGCTGGTGACCAAAAATTGGTTCATATGCCATTCTTTCTCGCAGGATACTGGGGCTAGCCCTTGTGCACCATTGATTTGGGATCCGGTTATAGCGCCGGACATTCACTTTTCTTCCTCTCTTCTTCGTAAACAACACCCTCGCCACGAGGAGGCAGTGAGTAGGACTTTCCTGGCAGAGGCTATATACGCTTGGCCATGTGAGAGTATTTCGAGAGGGAGGGCGAACCAACCCCATTCTCGGCCATACCAGGGCATTTGGGAGCAACCACGTTGAATAGTGTTCCGTTATACAATAACAGTGAATTGTATACCCTATATAACTGTAGCTCTACAAGAGCAACATTCTATCTCATAGGTTTATTATGGAATTTCGTTGGATATCCATTCTTAATAAGCAGGTTATGAATATTAGTCAACTCATCTACAATGGTGTTATCACAGTAAATCATTTTACTAATCAGATATAAAAGAAAATCAATAAAAATCCTGAATCATTGTACCATATTGATTAAGGCTATCCAACATATTCCATCTCATACAGAATTCCTATGATGGATTAAACTTCAAAATCGTTAATGGAAGACAGTTGACAAACTCCTTTGAAGTAAAGACCGGTGTGAGGCAAGGTTGCTTACTCTCACCCTTTCTCTTTCTCCTGGTGATCGACTTGATCATTAAGATGTCAACATCTGAAGGGAAGCACGGGATACAGTGGACATCTAGGATGCAATTGGATGATCTGGCTGTTCTATCGCATACGCAACAACAAATGCAGGAGAAGACAACCAGTGTAGCAGCAGCCTCAGCAGCAATAGGTCTCAATATACACAAAGGGAAAAGCAAGATTTACCGATACAACACAGCATGCAACAATCCAATCACAATTGACGGAGAAGATTTAGAAGATGTACAAACCTTTACATATTTGGGCAGCATCATCGATGAACAGGGTGTGTCTGATGCAGATGTGAAGGCACGGATTGGCAAAGCAAGAGCAGCATATTTACAATTGAAGAATATCTGGAACTCCAAACAGCTATCTATCAACCTGGAGAACTACGAATGCTATCATCTAGAAGATACACGTGATTATTAACAGTTGTCTACGGAAAATACTTTGGATCCGTTGGCCGGACACTATTAGCAACAACCTACTGTGAGAGGGAACAAACCAATAACTATGGGACAGTAAAACATATAGCGATGGTTAATAGGTTTACCAAAAGCTTACAATAAGCGGAACACATATATTCAGCCATACAGTTATTCACTAGTTACTTACTTACTTACGCCTGTTACTCCCAATGGAGCATAGGCCGCCGACCAGCATTCCCCAACCCACTCTGTCCTGGGCCTTCTTTTCTAGTCCCATCCAATTCTTGTTCATTTTTCTCATATCTATCTCCATTTCCCGGCGTATTGTATTCTTTGGTCTTCCCCTCCTCATTCGACCTTGAGGATTCCATGTGGGGGCTTGTCTTGTGACGCAGTTCGGTGCTTTCCTCAACGTCTGTCTTAACCACCTCTAGAGCTTCTTCCTGATTTCTTCCTCCAACAATAGGTTGTTGCTAATAGTGTCCGGCCAACGGATCTGAAGTATTTTGCGTAGACAACTGTTAATAAACACCTGTATCTTTTGGATGATGGATTTCGTAGTTTTCCAGGTTTCCGCCCCATACAGTAGAACTGTCTTCACATTTGTATTGAAAATCTTGACCTTTGTGTTGGGTTGGAAACGATATCGATTTATATATTAGTGTGGAGAGATGTATAATTCATAGACATATTACCAATGAATAATTAGTGGAAAATCGATGTTATAGTGTAGCGTAGATTGGAGAAACTAAAGGTAATTTTAAAATCTAATACTGAGTGGCAGTTCGTTCTGTTTTACTTTACGGCTGTAAAACGCGGCAATTAAGAGTAGAAGATATTCGTAAACTACTAATATTTGATCACAGATGTCTTAGAAATATTTCTCGCATCTACTTAGATCACCAGGTAAGTAATAGTCAGATGGTTCATGAACTGAGATGGTTGGACCACGTGTCACATATGCCTGAACACCGATTACCATAACGCTTAATGTTGACTAGTGTTGGGCATAACTGGAAGAAAGTTAGAGCTGATCGAACCAAATCGTGGCCCCAGTCCTTGAAGTCACTAACTTCTGAATTGAGACATGTTGGTAAGTGCAGACCATTTGGTTGGGATCCATGTGACTATCGTAACCAATGGTTGGAGACTCTGTGTGACATGGGTCAGAATCGATCACAATGGCGTAGGTATATACCCTCTTTGTCTTCCCTTAAACTATGAGATTCAAATTGCTTTATATAGTTCTTTCTTCCTATATTATATTGTGATTGATTCTTCGCTATATCACTGTTTGTATCTAACCATCATTTATGATACTTACACGGACCCTTATCAGATCATTTTTAAGTAACAACGTATCTTACTCCTATATCTTAGTTTGTTGATATAGATATTACCCAATTTAGTTCTATATTTCTACATTGGGTTAAATCAACTTACTAGATAGTTTACTATACCCTTTGAAATAATCAGCATTAAAATTTTACATATGAATAATTGTTTTGTTCAGAAAATAAAAAGATTTTATAATAACGTAAAGTGTCACGTTTCTAGTATTTTTACATCTTATTTGAAACATTTACTACTGGAATGCAGTAAATGTATTCTGTTTTCAATGTAATCAATTCTATTTATCATAAAACATTAATTTAGTAATTAAATTATTCAACATTTAACCATTAGGTTTCTAGTTAGAATCCCAGTTAATATCAATAGTTTTCAATGGTTAAGATTATGTGTCAGTTGAAGCTAAACTACCATGGAAAACCTAGAAGCACTCGATGACCGTTCCATCCTATTGTGGGATTCCTCGTCAGTGTGTATCCACAACCACACTTTGTGGGTTTCGAACACAGGATCTATCAGTCTTGCGCTCGAGCCCTTAACCATTAAACCACTGAGCATCTAACAGTGTTAATGTTTAACTTCAACTAATCCATGAAATTGAGCAGCACATCCGCCATTGTCTTCAGTGAGTTACTATCTCACAACAGACCTGATTAAACTTCACTGATCACTACTTCTCACTAGAACTCCAGGAAATACCTCTTAAATCCAATCACTAATGAGCATATGTTGATTAGCATCAGAAGGGTTTTTATGGAGTTTGTAGTAATTTCAATGGTTGAGATCATGAGCCTATTGAAGCTAGACTATCATGGTTTTCATAATGAAAAATATAATCTAAAGTTCAGTTTATAATTCAATACTCAATAAATGAGTTATAATACATACAATTGTATCCAATCCATTCAAGTCATCTGCTTAGCGTTGGGTTTTTTTTTTAGCAAGTTAGTTTTCTACAGAATGCGATCAATAACTCCATGCTCAACTCTCCTCATTTATTTGAGCTTGGAACTGACAGTAACCCCAAGATGGGTTCCAAACAAAGTAAGTAATTACTCAAATCATCTGAAAGTTTAATCACCAAAGATAATTGATCTTATTCAATTTAAGCTTTAAAACAATTATCAATCCTTATTCTAATTGTTTATTTAGGAATTTTATACATTAAAATGGAATAGTAAAGAAAAACTACAATATGCTCCAAATATTGTTGCTTCTACAAGATGGTTTAATCAAGTGAGTTAGTTTGTTCTTTTTGTTTGTGATTTATTTATTGTTCTTTAAATGATTCATTGTTTAACTGATTCATATCGGAATGATCAGTTTATAATGTTGTTGTTGTTGTTGTGTTTTTGTTTGACGTTACATCAACTGTTTATCAAAAATATCTTTTATTTTGGAAGCTCCTGTTATGACCTCCCCCCCCAGTTTGGACATCAGGGTAGTCTCTCAGTTCTCACAGAAATTGAATGATTTATGTGGCGGATATCTATTTTATGCCTCTTTGTACCAATGTTTATGTGTTTAAATATAATAAATAAATACCGAAATATCTTTTATTAGTGCCACTATTCTAACTTTCTATTTTCTACTAGCCCCCAAATACATTGGTATGGCCGAGAGTGGGGAGAGTCAGTTCTCCCTCTTCTAATGCTCTCACATGGTCACGTGCATACAACCACTACCATGGAAGTTCTATTCACTGACTTCTCGTGGCGGGGGTGTTGTTTATAAAATTGAGAGAGTAAAAAGCAACTGTCCAAAGCTTTAACCACGTTGTTGAACATGGAGAGTTCACCTACGTGAGTTGAAAAACCCTGATTCCAAACCAATGGTGCACATGAGCTAGCTCCAGTATCCTGAAGGAACGAATAGCGTATAAACCAATTGTTGGTCACTGACTACCATAGGACTCCATTTGTTTACGTTTCTCCACTACTTTGTGGATCAAACCTTTAGATCGGAGGATCCAAGTGTGGCCCCCCTAAAGAAACCACTTGCACAGTCATCATACAAATCGAATGATTTACGTGGAGCATATCTATTTAGTGACTCTTTATACCAATGTTGATATGTTTCAATAAATAAGTAAATACCAAAATATCTAACTTCAAATGGATAATACTTATGTGTACTTCTAGTAATTAGGCACAAAAAAAAATAGCATTAAATCTTAAATGTTAACAATATAAGTGAGATTTATCCAACAAAATCATATGTTAATAAAGAGATAGATAAATATAGTTCTAACTATGAAACATCATTCAGTTATAACGAAAGTTTTAGAAATATGCAAAATCAATACAGAGAAATCAAGTTAACAAGATATGTAATAAAGAATTCAAAGTAAATGATAAAGTCAATATAAGTAAGAATCCCCCCAAATGCCCTGGTACGGCCGAGAATGGGGAGAGTCCGCTCTCCCTCTCGAAATGCTCTCACATGGCCATGCGTATATAGCCTCTGCCAGGGAAGTCCTAATCACTGCCTTCTCATGGCGGCGGGGGTGTTGTTTACAAAAATGAGAGGACGAAAATCGAATGTCTGGCGCTTTAACCGGATCCCAAACCAATGGTGCACGTGGGCTGGTTCCAGTATCCTGAAGGAACAAATGGTGTATGAACCAATCGTTGGTCACCGGCTACCATGGGACTGCATCTTCTCACGATGCTCCACTGCCTTGTGGATCAGATCTTCAGGTCGAAGGCTCTGGGTGTGGCCCCCTAAGAAAATCACCTGTTTCGGTTTGGGCACCCGGTCAGTATCACAGCCCTCACACAAATCAATTGAGATTCGTGTGGTGCATATGTATTTGGTGCCTCCCTGTACCTATACTTATGTATTAAAATAAATAAATAAATAATCGAATCCTGAAATTCATCATCTGATGTAGGATAAAATATGTACATAACCTAACCCTGATCCATCATCTCTAACTATGGATTACAATTATTATGAGGACTATAATCGATTACTTGACACCTATCAATACAGCCTAGTTCAATAGTCAGTGATTATATGAACTAACTAGCATCATATCTTGATTTAGACGCTTACATAGCTTTCCTTCAATAAATTTCGCATTGAAATAGGCTATGGTTAGGTATATATATAGTCTATATTTCAACCATGTAAGTCATTGATGGTTCAAACTTTTAAACAATTTATCTAAATACCCTATGTCGGACCCTAACATCACTCTGAAACATTGTAACATTTTCAGTATTTACTTAACTTTTCACTTGGTATTGTTTTAATTGTATCTTCCTATTGAGGTTTAAAAGACTGCAATTGATCAATCTGTTATTGGCATATGGGCATACTGTGAGTATGCTACGATATTGCCTTAATTCACATGCTTTTATGAGCAAAGATGGATAGTGGCTAGTAGTGAAATCCAGGACGCATGCTGCTTCATCTTATTTGGGACTCGTCAGCTGGATATATCTGTATCTCAGACTTGTCGATGTTGACACTGGGACTCAAACACCAGTACCATTCGCTTCATACGCCATCACGTTATCCATTCAGTTACTTACTTAACTTTTGTAGAAGTTATTTTCAAGGTTCCAATAAAATGTTTCTATTCCATATAGCTAAATCGATAATAATCATCAATATAATGTCTCATTGTTAATCTATAATATATGATTAAACTGTATAATTCTCTTTGACCTCTCTGTGTAACATAATTAATAAGATTTAGCCTAATATTTATTACAGTAAAATATTACTTTTCCTTATCTATCACTATGACAACTAGAGATTTATTTTCTTTCCTTATTAAATTCCTGTTCTTTATCATTGATATGTCCTCTCTCTCTCACACACACACACATTGTTTATTGTTTGTTCATTATCATACTTGTTTTTTGTCGCTCAATTTCATGGATTGGTTGATGTTAGACATTAACACCGTTGGATGCTGATCAGTTCAGTGGTCTAGTGGTTAATCTTTATTTATTTATTTTATTTTAACACATAGATATATTGGTACAAGGAGGCATCAAATACATATACGCCACACAGATCTCATTTGATGTGTGTGAGGGCTGTGATACTGACCGGGTGCTCAAACCGAAGCAGGTGGTTTTCTAAGGGGGCCACACTCATAGCCTTTGACCTAAAGGTCTGATCTACAAGACAGTGGAGCATCGTAAGGAGATGCAGTCCCATGGTAGCCCGTGACTAATGATTGGTTCATACACCACTTGTTCCTTCAGGATACTGGAGCCCATGTGCACCATTGGTTTGGGATCCGGTTAAAGCGCCGGACATTCGCTTTTCGTCCTCTCATTTTCGTAGACAACACCCCCGCCATGAGAAGGCAGTGAGTAGGACTTCCCTGGTGGAGGCTGTGTACGCTTGGCCATGTGATAGCATTTGGAGAGGGTGAGCGAACTCTCCCCACTCTCGGCCATACCAGAGCATTTGGTGGCAGTGTTTAATCGCTCGCGTGCAAGACTGATAGATCCTGAGTACGAATCTCGCAATGTGGCGGAATTGTGGATGCCCACAGTCACTGAGGAGTCCTCCAATAGGACGAAACGGCCGTTCAGTGCTTCCAGGTATTCCATGGTGATCTAACTTTTCAATCGACTCATGATTTCAACCATTGAAATTACTATCATATCTACAAAATCTTTTCTGATATAAAATCTATCTATTTTTTTTTAGATTATATTCTGGGTTCAAAAAGATATATTAAATGAGAAAAGTTTATCGAAGCGAACAGAAATATTATCACATTTTATACGAATAACAAAGGTTAGTTTATATATGTATGTATCTACTGTCGGTAGTCAGCTTTATGGTTAGTTTGGGAGTAGTAGTTCATACTGTCAATATGACAGTTATTTGTAAACTTAGTCTACTGATCACTAAGTTGTCACTGCTTGTTTGCCTGTAGGATCAGTAATATCTTTGTACATCATTTCATTACAATTGAATGTGACGACAACAATATACAACTATCTCTATTGTTGAAAATTTACATTGAAGTTAAGCTTGTACTATTCATCAATTCCATTATTATGGCGTAACTAACTTTGTTGTTGAAATTATTCTCAAAATATTTTTCATGGAAATTTACTGTAGTTTTAAATCAGTTACCCGGGAAACAACCTTTACTGAATGATAACATAAACATTATTGAAATTATTAGCTTATCAAAGTGTAAAGTACTCCTACAATACCTGTAGAAAGATATATTTCCATTCCTGACAAACCGTTGGTAATTCTTTCGAAGTTTTTGTATCTTCCTAGATACTAGTGGTAGAGCAGATAAAATCAATGTATGTTATAGCCATATCTAGTTGAAACGCATCGATCGTGGATCAACTTTAATATCACCACCACTGAGAATTGATTATCTAGTGTTTTGAAATAGATTGAAGTTAGAAATGGGCTAGGCAGGAAGCAGGGCCAATCAGAACTCTAGGTTGCTTGTACGGGTTTACGCGTCATTGATCCGATCGATAAGTCACAGCTCTCTGATCGGCAGTCACAAGTTATAACAGTAGGATTATTAAATCCCTGATCAGCAATTTAAAAATAACGCACTCTTGATAATAAAATCTGAATATCCTGAATTCCACATCTGAGAGAGTTTACACATAAGGTGATACGTATCAAATGTAGGCTGAAATAATATTCAAAATAAATTTCAGCGCTCTATATGTCTAATTCAGTACATTATAAAAATTAAAATAGGGGAACTAAATAATCTTGAATATGTCAAGTTCTTTAGTTAACAACGAAATCGTATTTTATATTGTCATCACTAATGAAAGTCATGTTCGATAAAAATATGGTCCTCTGATCGCCATAACCTACAATACAAGCATGTTTAGAATATGTTTATACTTCTGTAAATGGAAAACATTTTCTCATAACCGGTCTACATCAACGTATGAAGTAGTGAATTGTGTTGACTACTTCACTCATTTTGGAAGTCACATCAGTTTGTGAGTTAGTGTATGGCTAAACTTTGGTATTTTTCACTTTTCGTTCAGTCCAAATGTCCGTCTACTAACTAAGGGACAGGTTTACTGTACAACAATTTACTCCATTCTACTCTATGGCTATAAAATTTAGTGTTTTAAAAAAGATGATATCCATAGGTTACTAGTGTTCGATTATAAATGTCTTGTTATCACCACATTAGCAATACTGGAGTTGAATTCACTGTATCAAGTAGAGATGACAAATCAGTTGATAAGATTAAAAATATTGATCATCTAAGGTAGATGGGACATGTGTAACGTAAACCTAACTACCAATTATGTGAACAGGCGATATTGTCTAGTGTAAGAGTAGGCTGAATGAAAGTTAGAGACATCTAAATCAAGTCATATGACATTCATTCACAAATGTACTGACTATTAGTCTTACCCATATACATACATGTAGATTATCTGATTAAGGTCCGTTCTATCATCATAATTAGCAGTTGATATAGAGTTCACAATCATTTACAGTGATCCAGATGCATTCATTCTTTATCTTGCCTTAAATCCTATGTTTGTTTTTTTTAATTTTAATTATTCCCATCTAACAAGTTCGTATTTTCCGTTCGAATCTTTTCCTCTAATATTGATTCTTAATGTACCTTGTATAACTTGAGCATTTATTTATTTATTTATTTATTTTAACACATAGGTATTGGTACAAGGAGGCACCAAATACATATGCGCCACACATATCTCAATTGATTTGTGTGAGGGCTGTGATACTGCCCGGGTGCGCAGACCGAAGCAGGTGGTTTTCTTAGGGGGCCACACCCTGAGCCTTTGACCTGAAGATCTGATCCACAAGGCAGTGGAGCATCGTCAGGAGATGCAGTCTCATGGTAGCCAGCCGGTGACCAACGATTGGTTCATACGCTATTTGTTACTTCAGGATAATGGAGCCCATGTGCGCCATTGGTTTGGGATCCGGTTATAGCGCCGGAAATTCGCTTTTCGTCCTCTCATTTTCGTAAACAACACCCCTGATGTGAGAAGGCAGTGAGTAGGACTTCCCTAGCAGAGGCTATGTACGCGTGGCCATGTGAGAGCATTTGGAGAGGGTGAGCAGACTCTCCCCACTCTTGGCCGTACCAGGGCATTTGGGGGCATAACTTGAGTAATCAGATGCTAGAGCCCTCCCAAGTCGCTAATGGGTAAACAAAAGACAAATGAAAAAAATATTATTCCAAAACAGTGTCAATTATAGTACAAAACTGTCAGATATTTATAGTTTTTAGTAAAAACAAAATCATCATTATAGTTAGTTATCCAATCCTCACACGTGGATGGGGGGTTATTAGCATTTATCCAATAGGGAAGCTATACATAGTGATTTTAGAATTATCTTCCAGAAGATAATTGAATGGAATATTTCCAATGATTAAGATCATGAGTCAGTTGAAGCTTGACCACCATGGAAAACCTGGAAGTACTGGACGGCCGTTTCGTCCTATTATGGGACTTCTCAGCAGTGAGAACCCACGACCTCGCCCCCTGCGAGATTCGAACCCAGGACCTACTAGTTTCGCGCGTGAGCACTTAACCACTAGACCACTGAGCCGGCCGGCATCCAACGGTGTTAATGTCTAACTTCAACTAATCCACGAAATTGAGCGACACATCCACCATTGTCTTCAGTGAGTTACTATCCCACAACAGACCTGGTTGAACTCCACTGGTCACTACTTCTCACTAGAACTCCAGGATATACCTCTTGAAGCCAGGATGCGCACTGCTGAGGAGTTCCATAATAGGACGAAACGGCCGTTCAGTGCTTCCAGGTTTTCCATGGTGTTCTAGCTTCAACTGACTCATGATCTTAATCATTGAAATTACTACAATCTCCACAAAACCCCTTCTGAATGGAATATCTTCGACTCTTTCTAAGCTTCTTCTCCTATACCATGACTATGATTAGTCTATGACTAAAACACCTTACAAATTAAATTAATCTTGACAGAGTTACTTCAGTCTAATTTCTATTACATAATTATTCAATTTACTAATCTTGTTATTATTATCATAAATAAAATGATATTTAGCCATTTGTATTTTCTCTCATTTAAACACATACACACACACCATACACCTACATACATACATACATACATACACCTATCCATTACTTTATATAGAAACTAGTTGATTTAAATAATTTCTCATCAGGAATGGCTATGATATCTGCATTACATATGCAATGTATTCATCGATTAAATGCTACATGGTCTAATTTATCTTCACGTGATCGTCATACATTTCGTAAATTGTCAGATTTATTCTCTCAAGAAGATAATTTTATTCATCTTCGTTCAGCTGTTGATAATTCACGTCTTCCATGTATACCATATTTAGGTAAGTTTTCATTGTTGTTAAGTGTTTATTAATCAGTATTAGACTTTGAAGATATAATTATTGATTTGCGTGTGTGTGTGTGTGTGTGCTGTGATACTGCCCGGATGCCCAAACCGAAGCAGGTGGTTTTCTTAGGGGGCCACATCCAGAGCATTCGACCTGAAGATCTGATCCACAAGGCATTTGTAGCAACGTCAGGAGATATAGCCCTATGATAGTTGGTGACTAATAATTTGTTCCTTCAGGATCCTGGAGCCAACCCATGTAGATCATTGGTTTGGAATCAGAGTTTTCCAACTTCCCTAGATGGATCCTTCATATCCATCAACCTAGTTAAAGCGACTGACATTCACTTTCCATCCTCCAAATTTCTTAAACAACACCCCCGGCTAAGAGTAGGTAATGAATAGGACTTCCCTGTCACTGGATTTATACACTTGGCTATGTGAGAGTATTAGGAAAGGAAGAGCTAATTCTCTCCACCTTCAAAGAGTGAGAGGGCAGTATCAAATTCATTTAAAACAATCAGTTCATTTTGATTCATTTAAATAGTATAATAATAAGATTATTAGTACTATGTAATGATAGATTAGCATAATACATTGTAAACAATCTAATCACATATGTACTTATTTAAAAAATAGTTTATTCTCATTCATAAACCTACCCTGATGATAATGTTAGCTTATTATCTCTTGTTACTTCTCATCCTCCATTATTTTTTTTTTAGTCTCGTTGACCTTTTATATTTATATGTAAATGTTTTAATAACAAGTCAGAAGTTATGCGTGATCAGATTGTTCGAAATGTACTACACTAATCTATCATCACATAGTTCTAATAATCTTTATCTTCTTATTATACTATTCAAATAGACTAATTAGTGTGTATAATTAAAACTATTGAAAATGCTTAATAAATATATATATCAATAGTTGAAATCATGAATCAATTGGAGCTAGACCACCATGGAAAACCTGAAAGCACTGGACGGCCGTTTCGTCCTAGTATGGGACTCCTCAGCAGTGCGCATCCATAATCCCGCACCCCGCGGGATTCAAACCCAGGACCTATCAGTCTCGCGCCAGGCGCTTAACCAACTAGACCACTGAGCCGGCATTTAACGGTGTTAATGTCTAACTTCAACTAATCCACGAAGTTGCGCCACCGTCACCATTGTCTTCAGTGAGCTGATATCTCACAACAGACCTGGTTGAACTCCACTGGTCACGGCTTCTCACTAGAACTCCAGGAGTATCTCTTGAAGTCAGTCACTAGTGAGCAGATGATTATTATCAGAAGGGATATATATATATATATATATATATATATATATATATATATATTCAGAAGGATTTTCTTTATGGATATTATAGTAATTTCAATGGTTGAAATCATAAGTCAATAGAAGCTAGACCATTACCATGAAAAACTTGGAATCACTAGACGACTATGTGAAGTTAGACATGAACACCGTTAGATATTGATCAGCTCAGTGGTCTAGTGATTAATCGCTCACGTATGGAACTGATAAGTCCTGGGTATGAATCTCGCGAGGTGACAGGATCGTGGATACACACTGTCACTGAGGCGTCCCTCAATAGGACGAAACAGTCGTCCAGTGTTTACATGTTTTCCATAGTGGTTTAACTTCAATTAACTCATGATCTCAACTATTAAATTATATATTCCTCATTAGTGTATACCTCAAACCTCGTATTGGAAATTTGAATTCAGAGCTACTTTAATTGATTGTTCTTTGATACTATAACAGACGTCTATGATGGAATTAAATTTATTATTGTTACCTTTCATGGTTTAATTTATATGAAAATATAAATGTAATTACCTATAATAGAGAAGATGATTATCCATATTGTATTTTTCTATAGGCTGAAATTAACAATGTGTTAAGATCTGTCACATAATGCACCTTATCCCACGGATATCCGTCTCCGGCGGTAAGGACTCAACAAGTACGGAGCTAACACAAAAATCACTCATAAAAAGGTCGTGTGTGACCGACCTCAAGCAGCTGTCCCTTGGGCACTGCGGTCACGCTCTCAGGTCACTATGACCACCTCTAATCCAATTTCCTTTTCAGGTACCTCCAGAAGAACCCTTCCACGGTGTGGGCAACCGGGAAGTGATAACCGCCCTCATACCTCTAACAGCACTCAAGACCACTGTATTCGTAGTCAACCTGACTGATTGTAATTATTAGGTTGTCAAAATCAAAAACCTGAATTTTATACTAATTTACACTTATCAACAAAGTATATCTAGAATTTTAAGGGCATTAATTCTCATTTTATGATTCCTATCTAAGTTATTTATTGTTAGTAACTAAAGTTCTTATTACTAATTTATCCTAGTTACAAATGATGACTTATTGGACTGTTATCCACATTCATCTCTTAGTAATAGTAACCTATCAATCAATAATTCATGTTGTCACAAGTTTGCATAATATAATAACGGATTCCCACCTTATTTTCATATGTGTTATTTCTTTGTCCAGTTATCTTCCTTATTTATCAAATATAGATTTATGTACTTCATTTTGATCTGTATTGTATATGTGATTCAAGCTGGCTTCTTACATCTGCAATAGATTGTGCTAGTATGTTCAAACTTTGCTACGTCATTTGTTAAAATTCAAATATTGTTTGAGACCTTGAACCGATTGATGTGAGACCACCATTGAAAACCTGGAAGCACTGGACGGTCGTTTCGTCCTATTTGGGGACTCTTCAGCAGTGCGCATCCATGATTCCCCTCGCAGGATCCGAACCCAGGACCTCCAGTCTCGCTCACGTACGCTTAATCTATTAGACTACTGAGCTGACATCCAACCGTTTTAATGCCTAACTTCAACCAATCCACGAAATCGCGTAACCATCGTTCATTGTACTAAGGTAGATACCTGTCTCTACCCGACACGGATTAGCTCCACTGGTCATGGCTTCTCACTAGAACTCCGAGAATTCCCTCACAAAGTTATTCACTAGTGAGCACATAGTAATTATCAGTATAGGGTTGTTGAGATCTCAGTCAGTCAGTCAGTCTTGAGTGCTGTTAGAGGTATGAGGGTGGTTATCATTTCCCGGTTGCCCACACCGTGGAAGGGTTCTGCTGGAGGTACCTGAAAAGGAAATTGGATTAGAGGTGGTCATAGTGACCTGAGAGCGTGACCGCAGTGCCCAAGGGACAGCTGCTTGAGGTCGGTCACACACGATCTTTTTGTGAGTAATTTTCATGTTAGCTCCGTACTTGTTGAAACCTTGCCGCCGGAAGCAGATATCCGTGGGATAATGCGAGGTGTGCATTTTTAGGGTTGACATTTCCTAACCCCACCCCTCCTTGTGGGAAGGCAGCATCGCTGTTATGCTGGTTGTCTGGAGGAAACAGCTTACTGCTGTCACACCTCTGTACAGTCAGCAGTACGACTTCACCTTCGGACTTTGGATTTGTTGCTTTTAGTCTTACCGCTCTTCACCCGACCTGTCTGGCAGCGTAGGACCTTGAGGAACGGTTGTTCCAACCAGTATAGCTCAGTTGCTTCATCACGATAAGCAAGACCGACCACCATGTCAAGGTAGCAACAACGGTTGAGGTTGAGATCAATAACTTAATAATCTCCACAACCCTATTCTAATAAAAATCCAAATAGTTTATAATTATTACATCAATCCTCCATTTCACAATCAGTGGGATTGGTGTTTATTAAGTTTTTTTTCTCACCTATATATAGAAACTGTTACATTTTCTCAGTAGTTATGCAGTTACGTAATTTGACTTTTTTTTGTACATCCATTTGGACATATGTGTATGTAACTGTAACAATGACCTATATTTTATGTTCTGTCTGTTATTTTGTCGTTCATATATCGTATATATGTATATTTATATATACATTCCATCACGTATACTTATCCATTAATCCGTAGGACGCAAAGTGTATATGCTGTTAATTGTGGTTGTGGTTACTGTTTTCAGTTGTTCACAGTCGTCTACTTGGATACTACCAGCGAAATATCGTATCTGGCTGATTCGATTGATAATCTTATCCTCTTATATAGTTTATTTGTTTTAATATCAATTATTCATTATTTAGAAGTCGATGATAACTCATTGTCTGAATGGTAGATATACTTTTAAGAGCTTAACAATAGGACGAAACAACCGTCCAGTGCTTCCAGGTTTTCCATGGTAGTCTAGCTTCAACTGATTCCTGATCTTAACCATTGAAATAAAACCATGATTAGGAAAATAATTTTTACTACCTTATTTTTTACTCTACCTCTTTGTTACCATGTTGTTGGGGATGCTAAATCCGCAGAACTCACTCGGTAAATGCCTTATTTTTGTAATTCTATTTTAAAATCGCCCCCAAATGCCCTGGTACGGCCGAGAGTGAGGAGATTCCGCTCACCCACTCGAAATACTCTCACATGGCCACGCGTATACAGCCCCTGCCAGGGAAGTCCTACTCACTGCCTTCACGTGGCGGGGGTGTTGTTTACGAAAATGAGAGGACGAAAAGCGAATGTCCTGCGCTTTAACCGGATCCCAAACCAATGGTGCACAAGGGCTAGCCCCAGTATCCTGCGGGACCAAATGGTGTATGAACCAATCGTTTGTCACCGGCGACCATGGGACTGCATCTCCTCACGATGCTCCACTGCCTTGTGGATCAGATCTTCAGGTCAAAGGCTCAGGGTGTGGCCCCATAAGAAAACCACCTGCTTCGGTTTGGGCACCCGGGCAGTATCACAACCCTCACACATATCAAATGAGATTTGTGTGGCGCATATGTATTTGGTGCCTTCTTGTACCGATATCTATGTGTTAAAATAAAATTTTAAAATCACACACTTTCATCTTCATGTCGTATTTCCCACTTGTGAAGGCGTTTAATGCTATTGGTTCGTTGTCTCTTTTAATATGCTATTTTATAACGTTCCTCATGGACATTTTTACACTGTATATATACACTT